GGTCAGAGCAGTCAGTGGTGGTAGCCGGGCACCATCTAGCTGTACTGGACTCAGTCCGGTGGAGGCCTTGGTAGCTGTGGACCATTAGTCCTTTGGACTAATCTTTTCTTTGTATCCTGTTCTCTTCATTCTCCCTTGCTCCCGAAGGGATGAGACCAGTGGAGTATCTTAGATGGAGTGGCCTTTTTTTAAGTGCTTTCCTTAGAGGTATGACATCAAGTTAAATTGAGCATAAAACAACTCAAATTTGTTAGTTTAAGCTGTACATAATTTAATGTCATTGAAGTTTTTCCATGTGTTCGGGGTAAAAATCTATAGGTTTAATATTCAGTAAAGTGGACCAAATTCTTACTGTAAAATTTGAATATTTTAAAATATGAATAGGACCTGAGTCTCTATGCTTCCCTCTCTTATGTGTTACATTTTTATAGTCTGTGTAGTTTGAGTAGGGGGTGTCACGGCAGCAACTTTGTCCTGACTCCTGACAATGAGATTCTCCCTTTTGTCGGACATACCATTTATCATGGTGCACTTCTGCTTACAACCATCTTTGTTGGCCTGTTTTTCCTGCAGGCTACAGATTATGCCCTCTGCTTGCTTTTAAATGCACTCACACGCTCACCCTGTTCTGCATGTCTATATTGTGTTCTAATGATTTTTAAAAGACTTCTTTCTAGGTAGTAAGCCAGTCTCTTGACATATCAAGTACGAGAAAGTATGTTTTAAACTTTTATATACTTTTAATATTTTTATATGTAGGTTTTGGTAATGCCACATTATTGTTTACACCTTCTTTACACCCCTGTCTGTTCAGCTCTTTTCCAGAATTCAAGCTTTTTGCTGTGCCCCATCTTTTCCATGAAGCTTTCCCTTACCATTCTAGCTTTCATTAACAACTTCGTCCTCCAAACTTCCAATGTACTAATCAGCTCCCAGTAATTTATCATTTGATCATATACTGTCTTGATCATACACCAATGTTTTTAATTGTCTCTCCGATGAGATATGACTTTGGTACCACTTAGTAGTACCTAGCATCATGTGTAATATGTAGACTTTTAATTCAGTAGTGGTTGGTTGATGACTGATGATGAAGGGGTTCTTAAGGAAAATGTCACCACAAATTGTTTCCAAGAATTCGCAGGTGCCTTGAAGGTGAAAGTTTTAGGAATGATTTTTGAGGCTTTGTTTCTATTTCATGATTAGAGTGTTTCCAAAGCTGCTTAGGTCAAGCATTAGCTTTTAAGTAGAGGTCATCAGCTTTAAATGAGAGTACTGGCTTCTATGATGCGTATGGTAGCATGAACATAGGGTAGGGAGGGTGGAAAGGGTGGCAGCAAGAACATTATGTACTGGCCATCTTTGACATGAGTCCAGTTGTGAGCTACTTAGAGAATAGGTAGGAAGGAAATCTATTAAAGATCGGTGATTGTCGTAATTCTTAAAAGAAGGTCACACTTTAGAAGGATGATATAGGGTAGGTAGATGACTTGTCTTAGATTCATTTAGCTTGGTATACAGTGTGTTCTCTCAGAAGCCTATACAGGGGTCTAGAGAACAAGCTTGCAGTGCTGATTTCCAATAGGGACTACTGGCAACTTGCACTAGTCACTTAATCTATTACTTCTTTCTACCTTTGTTGAAAAAATATTTTAATTCAAAGGGTTGTTGAGTAGCTACATAAATTCATGCTTATTTTATGACATTTCCAGAGAAATTCTGGAAAACATTCAAATGTCTGAGGGGTGAGCCAACGGAAAGGTTAACATTATCAAATCCAATATTGAAATTTTTCTCAATGTCAAGGTTTAGAATATTTCAAAGGTACATGCAATCAAGAGGTACAGGAGAAGAGGCGTGGTATCTCCAGCTCGGCTTCCTAAGTTTGTCCTTCCCATAACGCATATGCCTTCTGATCCAAAATAATAGATGAGGTCTCTAGGTACTTGAGTTTCTCACACAACAGGGAGCATTTTTGGTTTTGAAACATCTCCATTTTATACCCATACGACAGTATAGCTTACGTTACGTCTTCTAGGGAGTCATGCTCCATAAATCCATAGAGCCCAGGTTTGTTTGCCATGTTGTTACTACTTCCTGTCGCGTTACCTCTGACTCGTGGCAACCTTATATACAACAGAACAAAACATAGCCCTGTCCTGTGCCATCTTCATGATCTTTGATATGTTTGAGTCCATTGTTGCGGCTGTCGTGTCAATCAGTCTCATTGAGGCTTTCCCTTATTTTCACTGACCCTTTACTTTACCAAACATGATGTTCTTTTCTAGCGATTGGTCTTTTCTGATGACATGTCCGAAGTAGGTGAGCTGAAATCTCTCCATCCTTGCTTGTAAGGAGCATTCTGGTTGTATTTCTTTTAAGACTAATTTGTTCCTTCTTGTGGCAGTCCATGGTATATTCAATGTTCTTCACCCAACACCCTAAATCAGAAACATCTTGTTAAAAGCATTGCATAGATAAGGACTCTATTCCTAACAAATACAATCAGTTTATTTATGAGGAGGTTGGTTGTTAGGTTATTAACATGTTTCTAAGGAGGTTAGACCTGGTCACCTGCCTTCTTTTTTTCTCAGGGGTGTGCCTCCTCACTTCCCCAGCTTACTCAAACCCGTCCCCCCAAAACACACACCTTGGGAGAAAAATAGGTTTTGCAGGTCAGATGCTTAACTCCTTTCTTCCTGTTGAAGAAACTAAACAACATTCACAATCCCACTTCCTGGAGGTGGTTACTGTTAAATGTCTTGGGTGTATTTCCTTTTATGAAACTCTTTTCTCTGAATATGTATTTGCATTCATGCTTTAAAATAACTGGCCTGTACTGAAACAGGGTCTCTGAGCACTAAATCAGCATTTTTGAACACCAACACTTTTCTTTAAAGCACTTAAACATTTTATGGAGACGCTTCTGTAAGTTGATAATTCAGTATTCTATGTGAAGTAGCATCCAAGTCAGACCTGCTTTAAATTGAATTTTGTTCTGTTTTAAATTATATATATCATAAGGAATTATAACATTGTTAAATATGTATATTTTTGCTAGGTACACATTTTCTTGCGCATGGCAGAATTGCTTGGATATGATGTTCAGAGTAGACTGAAGCAATAGAATTTTGCCTTGATTCTTGAGACATTGCTTTGAATGTATGTGTATAGTACATTGGCAAGTTGCATTTGAATATGACTGATTTTATTGAGAGTAGATTAAGAGCCTTATATTTATTTCATGGATTATAAACTAAATTGCTAGTAGGGTATATAATATTTCTTGTGCAGTACACAATAGAGAATCATTCGGGATAAGAATGTATTTGACTTTGTGGTGGCAACTTTGTCGTCATTTCCTAACAGGGGCCTGGAAGAATTCTGTGGAAGAGTGGACAACAGAAGACTGGACGGAAGATGTAAGTGTTTGATGTCATATCAGACCCGTCTTTCTTTTAGTGTCAGGTGGGGCATGTGTGTTGTGGAAAAAAGCCTGAAGACATCTTACCCTAGCCAAGTTCTCAGAGATGTGGCTTTTTTAGCAGATGCTTCTCAGAAGGAAATTGGTGTTTTGGATTTGGATTTAAAGCATCCACTTAAAAATGACCAGGCGTTAAGTAGGACTGAAATGTTTTTTAGTGTATTTGTGTTTTGTTTGGCCTATTAGCCAAATAACCCCATAGCCCTGGCCTGTGGACTGTTCCTCTTGAGAGTATTTTTATTAAAGGAGAGAGTATATGTTTTGGGTCACAGTTGAAATTAACTTGCAGCCCCTCCCCCTTTTGACTGGAGGTGCTTTTTCTTTTTGTTCCTTCCACAGACATTTTTGAGTGTACTACAGTGGTTTCTGTGTAGTGTCATAAGTTCTCGGTTTAGCCTAGATAATCTTTGAGAAAAAATATTTTACTTAGATAATTAAAAACAAAAGAGAGTAACGGAACTAGCCTGATTTCATATTTTATACCATTTTTCTGTGTGATTTTCAAGGTCTGGACAGAATGTGCATAATAGAGAGTTTGATCAGACATTGATCGGGAAATAGTAAAGGGGTTAGAAGTAATATCTTCAAAATCACATAAAGTGACCCAGACTTTGAGATGTATTATCTCTGTCCCTCTCTCCCATGTGTGTATCCATTTGTGCTGACAGGAGCTGTTTGGAATGGAAAACAAGAAGTAGCATTTCTTCCTGACTTGTTAAATGACCTTAGGGCACAGTTCCTTAGGTCTTGGTTTCTTTGTGAAAAAAGGAATCAGTAATTCCTCAGAGTATTATTTAGTTTCCAAATGATATGTTAATAACATTCATTTTTACCTTGTAAAGCTGTCTTGTAAAAAGGAATTATAACTAAATTGACTGAAAAGTATTTTAAAAAAACTTTGTACTTAAGCTTTTTCCTTGTTTAGTAGTAGTATATCTGACTTGTTAGGGAATGAGCTCGGGTATGGTGTGAGGAAGGATGAGAATAAATATGCTCATTTGATTGAGCTTTAGGGTGTGTGTATTCACTGCTGTGATTTATTAACCAGAAGTCCTTGCGTGTGATGTGACTTGGCTTTCTGTTACCAGTAATATGAGGAGACTGCACTAGATAAGTGTTTATTTAAACCAGCAGAGGGATGAGCCCCAGTGATAAGGGGAGTAAGAGTGAGCACCCTGTGGGCACCATACCTTGTTTCAAACAGCCATCCTACTTTTAAATGTTTTGTATTAGAATTTTTGCTAGAGTTTGTTTGAAGAAAAAAGGGTTCCAGGGCTAAAAGCTTTACATCTCTTTGCCTGTCAGGGTCAATAGGCAGGTTAGAAAAGTAACGGGATCAGAAGGCAAAAACTTATTTTCAGATTTTAGCTCTGTTGACCTATATTGATCTTGGACAAGGCATCTTTCCTTTCTGAGCCTCTTGGTTTTTGCCTGTTAAATGAATATCATAATAGTTAGTCAGATGAGCTCTTATAATAAAAACTTGCTAATCAGTAATACAGCAGTACATACATGGAATGACAGTATTCTGCTGTACAGGACATATTGTATCACAGTATAATTCATAATTACTGAAAACAGCATAGGGAGTTTGGGCATCTCATTTTCTATGGAATTATCAGGAAAATACAAAAATTTTCTAAGATGATAAAAATAATGCTGATTGGCAGGTGAATAATTTAAAATGTAATCTTAAATTATTTTGAGACCTTAGAACAATAACCATTAACCTCTTTCTCACTAGCTCTGTTTTAAGAGAAAGAAGAAAACAAATCCAATTTTCAGTATCCCACCAGGGTTATATATGATGTCAGTGATTAAAGTGCTTTTCATTCACCTTGAACTTAATATTTGTAAGGCTTTAGGTTTACTCTGTCATTGCTTTTCATAGAATTACTCTCTTATTACTTCTTTGTTTTAATTGTTTAATTTGTAAGTTTCTTAAAGGCAGAAATGGATTCCTTGGGACTCTTTTAAAATACTGCCTTGAAACAGAGTGCAGTAGGTCCTTCTTGTTGAAACATCATTAGTTTGGCACTTTTTGTTTTTAAAGAAAATGAACAGCTACCATCTACTCAGTCCTTTCCTGATTATTTCTGTCCCAGGAAGTCTGATTTTACAGTGTTTCATAGTTCTGAGACATTTAGGGTTGTGAAGAATAACAGCACTTTCATTTGTTTCTCATGTTATCCCATTAGATCAACATTTCTCAGCCTTCAAAAGACCATGCTCCACTTTTAAAACATAAAAGGGCACATCTTTCATTCATGACAGTTGAAGTTTCAAAAAATTTTATTATGAGTGACCTAAAAGTGAGTTAAAAAAATACATGAATCTCAAATAATTATGCTGTGTGAAAGAAGCCAGACAAAGAAGAGTGCATACTATATGATTCCATTTAAAATTCTAGAAAATGCCACCTAATTTATAATGACAGAACGCACATCAGTGGTTGGCGGGGATACAAGTGAGTGGTGGGACAGGAGGAAACTTGGAAACTTTTAGGGGTCATGGGTGGATGTGTTGATGGTGCTGATAGTTCCACTGGAGTATACATACATCAAAACATTCAATTATTCGACTTAAATATTTACACTTTATTGTATGTCTGTTATACCTCAGTAAAATCATTTTTAAGAAAAGGCAAAGAAAGCCATGACTTAATAAACAGGAAATACAAGTTAGTAATCCATGAAATGCAAAAGCTGTCTTTCTTTGGGGGGAAAAGTGAGTTAATTCGCTTTTTTAAACTTCCTCACTCCTTTTTGGCATTTATGGTAACACTGGTAATGGTTTTATTGGTATCTCATTTTGTGTAATGGTAATACAGAGTAGTGGGGCTGGGACTTGAACCCTGGTTTGACTCACTGGTTTGACTTCACTGTGTTGTCTCCCATAGTTGATACAATGATGTGAAATTTTTATTGTAGGCTTATCAATCTAAAATTATCATCACCTTAAAATTATTTGTCATGATTGCATGTATGTTTTCTTTCCTTCAGATGACCTTTTGGGCGAGCTATAGTGAGAGTACTGGTGACTGAAATTTGCCAGGAATTCAGTACATTCTTGGCTTTATATTATATAGAATAAGATTAAAATATTTTTTCATGCTTTCCAAACAGCTTTCTGAAACAAAGGTCTTCACTGCTTCATCTGTTCCAGCAGAGAATCATGTCATGCCTGGGCAAAGGTAAACACCTTTTGTCTCCTTTTGTTTTATAGTCAAATCATAGCTGAAATTTTTTGCCTCAGGAAAAGTGTTTTGGTCCTTGAGTCCCTTTTTTTTTGCCCCCCTTTGCCATCTAAGACTATTTTTATTTTACCCCAAACCTACCTGGTCAGCTGACAGAGCTTCAGTCATTTCCAAATTGGTTGTATTCACTGATAAGTTAAAATAGCTAATATGTTTGATTTGTTAGCAGTTGTGGCAGAGATTGTTAAATCTATTTAATGGTTGCTCTTTTCACTTTTATAAACCTATTGTTTTTTGACATGATGAACTTAATATAGAATATCCTTTGGTTTCTTCATATAATACCATTGATTTAGATCTTCTAAGGCTAATACAAACTTTTCATGCTAGTTTTAATCTGCTAGGTTTGTGGATTACAGAAAAGGAAGGAGCTTTTGGGGTAACTACAACATTCATAGAGCGTGTACAGAACTAAATTATTGAAGAACATTAATTTACATCTTAGTGGTACAGTAACTATACGAACCTTTGATTATGGTTTCAAAAGACATTCATCTAGGAGGATGAAAGTCTTTATATATGACACCTTAGAAATTAAGGCACTTTTGAATAAAGAGCAACGATGAAGCTGTCAAACATCTTATAACATGGAGGAATCTGGAGGGCATTATGCTGAGTGAATTAGTCAGTTACAGAAGGACAAATATTGTATAAGACCACTATTATAAGAACTCAAAAAAAGGTTTAAACACAGAATAAAACATTCTTTGATGGTTACGAGGGTGGGGAAGGAGAGTGAAGGTTATTCACTAACTAGATAGTAGATAAGAATTATCTTAGGTGAAGGAAAGGACAGCACACACTACAGGGGAAGTCAGCACAACTGGACTAAGCCAAAAGCTGAGAAGTTTCCTGAATACAATCAAACACTTGGAGGGACAGAGTAGTAGGGGCGGGGATCTGGGAAGCATGCTTTCAAGGGACATCTAGGTCAGTTGACGTAACAAAGTTTATTAAGAAAATGTTCTGCATCCTACTTTGGTGAGTGGCATCTGGGGTCTTAAAGCTAATGAGCAGCCATCTAAGATGTATCAATTGGTCCCAGCCACCTGGAGTAAAGGAGAATGAAGAACACTATAGACATAAGGAAAGTATTAGCCCTAGAGACGTCATCACCCTGAGACCAGAACTAGATGGTGCCCGGCTACCACCCATGACCGCCCTGACAGGGAACACAACAGAGAGTCCCAGATGGAGCAGGAGAACAGTGGGGTGCGGAACTGAAATTCTAGTAAAAAGACCAGACTTAATGGTCTGAGACTGGAGGAACCCCAGAAAGCATGGCCCCCACACTCTCTGTCAACCCAGAACTAAAACAATTCCCGAAGCCAACTCTTCAGAGAAAGATTGGTCTGGACTGTGGGACATAAAATGATATTCATGAAGAGTGTGCTTCTTAGCTCAAGTAGATACATGGGACTAAATAGGCACCTTCTCTCCAGAGGTGAGATGAGAAGGCAGAGAGGGTCAGGAGCTGGTTGGATGTGGGAAATCAGGTGGAAAGAAGAGTGTGCTGTCACAGTACAGGGAGAGCAACTGGGGTCACATAGCAGTGTATGTATACGTTTTTGTATGAGAGACTGACTTGAGATATAAACTTCCACTTAAACTACAACAATTAAAAAAAAAAAAGAAATTAAGACACTTTTGAACTTTAACATACTGAATCTCATACTAAATGGAGTGGTTATATAAGGGGAGAAATCTATTAAGGCACTCTCTTGCAATGTATTGTTTTTGGAATTGCTCACGTTTTCTTATTAAATACATACATATGACTCTGCATTTGATAGAATAGTTTTCATTTTAAAAAAAGTGACATTAACTGGACTTTTTATAGTGGTTAGTTTTTTGTTTTTTTTTTAAGAAGACAATACTATTTTTCCATACCTATATCTTATCAAGCTTTTGGAGAAGAACTTACTGTGTTTTTTGTAGTCATACAAATTTTGTGATGAGTCATAAGTAATAAAACTACTTTGGATTTGTGTCCATGGGGCTAGAATATTATCTTGGGGTCCAAAATACTGGTCTGGGACCTCAGTCTGGCTATGGGAAAGTGAGAGTGATAGTATATAAGGAGAAGAACTCAAGGCTGGAAAATTTGCTCTGTATCGGAGTGAGTCTTAAATTATTTGATCTCCCATAATCTGCCTATCTCACTGGTATGGAGAGAAGACTGATAGGAACTGGCCTTTGAAAGGGTTTATTAATGGAGTAAGTTACCATGTTAGGTAATCCTATGTATCTTGCAGATCCTATGATACTAGTTAAGTGTGTAGAAAACTGGTACAAGAAGTTAGCAGGTTACTCACATGTCAGCTAGTCTTTATCTGGAAGATCATTTTCCCTTCTTGCTGTCAGATATTTGGCTGTGCTTCTCAAATTAGAATATCTGTCTTTCTGGGGACATCACAAGAATTCTAGTTAACATAGTATTTGTTAATATGTTGGGTATTTCCTCCTGAATATTTAGGTAAGAAAATAGTGAGATTTATATGAACTTATGGCATAGAATGCAAAACTTATAGATAAGAATATTTAAGATAAATAGAGACTGCTTGAAATGGTTTGCTATGGCAGTGACCCTCACTCCCCAAGACTAAGTTCACTTGTCTTTGGGAAAGTTTAAGAAACCCTGGTTCCGAGTAATAAATGGGATAAAATGTACTAAAAGAAATGAGCCAAACTTCAGAATATTATTTAAGTTTGCTTAATTACTCCAGGTTTTCAGATCGTCATCATTGTACTATTTCTGTGGAAATTTCTCAGTATACTGTTTGGTTTCCTTTCTCTGCAAAGCCCTACTTCAGTCTGTGTGGCTTCATGTACTTTGTTTGGTGATTGATGCTTTCCTTTTGGCTCCTTCAAACTCCAGTTTCCCAAGGTTCTCCTCCCTTAGATAATTTTTAGCATGAATTAGTTTACTGTATCTTGATTCATTTCTCAAATTCATTTTTTTGGTAAGATTTGCTTACGACTGGTTCCTGATTTGCTTTTTGTCTGCTTAGCATTGATCTGGTAGCCTTGCTCCAGAAGCCTGCTCCTCCCAGTCAAGTCTCAGAAGTCAACTCCTTTGAATCTTCCCAACAGCAGGGCTTTGGGCAAGCCCTTGTCTTCACAAATTCTCAGCACAACAATCAGATGGCACCAGGGACTGGCAGCTCCAGTGCTGTCAACTCCTATTCTACTCAGAGTCTGGTAACTCACTTTTATTTCAGTATGGGATTTTAAGGAATATACTCATGGGCAAATGTATTCTAGAATATGACAACTATATGAAAACTTCTACAGTAAATCTCAGTCCAGAAAACAATGATGTGGTAATTTCCAAGCACATATCTGATGATTCCATGTGGAATTCAACTACTCTGAGTTTCCTGGACAAAGATAAAATCCTTTTTTAGTTGAATTCTTTCCAGCCATGGTCACTCAGTCAGATTGAAGTCATCTTCTTGTTAATGATTCTTTTTCTTGGGTTTTGTTTCAATATCTGTTACTTGACTTAAGATAGTAAAATTTTTATGTTTGAAATTTCCCTAAACACAAATGTTTGTCAGTATTGCCTTGCCAAAAACATGCAAAATTAGTTCTTTTCAAGTCTGCCAAGGTGCTTATCTTTTTTGCATTTTCATTTATTTGTTATTCCATAAAATAAAGCTACTTTTTCTTAAAATGCCAAACTGTGTAGTAGAGGCCTGTCTACTTTGGGTGTGTTTTCATGGAAACAGTGTCATCAGTGCTCTGACTTCCAGTGAGAGTTAAACTCCCATCAGAAAGAACTTCAGTAACTATTGGTGAAGGATGCAAGGACAAGCTAAATGTAGCATGTGGAAGAATATGGCTACAGAATGGTAAACTGAAAGTACCTGCCCAACTGTAGGAAGTTCTGAGCTGGCAGTGGAGAGGTTGAATGGACTGTGACCACACAGGTCTACAGCTTTCATTAGTGATATTTATTTGGTTCAGTCCTTGTTGTGTTTTACTTTGAAATCTACTGTTGGGAAACAGAATGTTTTATGAATATGGTATAGTCTTCCTCCCCTATCTGACTCAAATCATAAGCTGTGCCTTAATAAAATGGAGAATTCAATACATAACCTTTTCGTTGCTATTTGTCTCCTACTGTGTATAGTCACTTAATGTTGCTGGCTTGGGAACTTGGCAGTTTTATGGGAATTTGGCATTTTTAATGTCACTGGTGATTGTGCATCAGATGGTGTTAGTGCTTGAAATGGGACAGGCCAAGGTATGATGCCATCAGTTTTGAAATGGTCCAGTAAAACCCCTGGGTTTTGGTTGAAGCATCCATGTCCTTTCCTCTTCTGCTTTTCTATCCTCTGCTAGAATAATGATGCAGTGTCTTTGCTGACTTGGCTGGAATCTCGATCAGACCACTGAAATCATAGGTCACTTTTACAGAGACCTTCAGGTGTGTTATTTACCTCATGACCAACACCTTGAGAAACTGCAATAAGAAGTGTTTGTTTAGCGTTGTATTAAAACAGTGCTTCTCGCATAAACATTTGGGGAACTGTAATTAAAATAATGATGATGATACCAGGGTCTACACAAGACGAAATGTCAGAATCTTTTAAGACTGGATTTGGGCACTTATGTGTATTTCTGTGTGCATGAGAGCATGTGAGAGCATGTGCACACATGTACCAAGACACGAATTTTTAAAGTCCTCCTGTTGATTGAAATGTGGAGCTGGGATTGAGAAGCCCTTTGCTAAGTGTTACCTGGTCATTGACTCAGTGATTTCATTGTATTGTAAAGCACACAGAAAGTGCATTTGATTAAACATAGTTGATACAGAATAGAGATTATGTAGGAAAGAAGAAGGAAGAAGATAAGCTTCATCCAAGAAGCTTTTACTGAATGGGTGGGCTTGAGCTGGGTCTTGGATTGGTAGCAAACTAAGAGGCCCTGGTGGCGCAGTGGTTAAGCGTTTGGCTGCTAACCAAAAGGTCAGCAGTTCGAATCCACCATCTGCTCCTTGGAAACCCTATGGGGCAGTTCTGCTTTGTCCTGTAGGGTTGCTATGAGTCAGAATCAACTTGACGGCAGTGGATTTGGTTTGGTTTAAGAGAGTCAAGAATCTGAAACAATGATAAGTAACATGAACACAGCTGCTGTACTAGGGGAAGATTCAGTAGTGGCCATCCATCATGCCCACAGCCTGCCGTTTTGCACACCAGTCTCCACACTGGAGAATTTTGGATTTCCCTAGAACAACTGTTAACACTCCATGCTTTTGCATATTGATTACAGAAATAATTATTTTCTAGATTTGGCCTTTTGGGGGACTGCAGAGTATTTTTATTTTTGACCTTTTAGATGGTTTTGAAATGGTTATTTTTGACAGAGGACTTATCTTTCAGAAACTGAATGATCTTGATGTGTAAAAAATACAGTTGTTCTGCCACTGTCATAGGCTTTCATTGTACTTGGATCCTGATATCTGATCTGACAGGATAGATGGGGCAGGTGTAACACCATCTTTTGTATACTTATTTTTAGTGCACATTTGATGTTCTTACTCATCTAAACAACTTGAAATAAACACACAGCATCCAGGAATCTGCTCAACCTCAAGCACTTGTATATTTTAGTGTCAGATTTTGGAATATTAGATGTCTAATTAAGTAAGTGTTGTGACCTGCATTTGATCTTGCACGGTGAACTCATGGCTGATCTCTTCAGTTTCCAAACCTATCCTTATCTTTAAAGATGATTGTTGTGGTCCAGAGATTAAGAAAATACCATGTTTTTGTTTGTCAAGCATATGTTTGTCATTAATGCGTGGTATCTTCTTTAGTTTTTTAAAAAAAAGTGGTATTTTGATTGTGGACTTGTGACATCAGTTTTTTTTTTTTTTTTTCTTTTAATTTCTTCAAATCCATTTTCAAATATTCTCCTTGAACTCTTTCATCATAATTAGAAGAGACTGTTGGATTTATTTAGTCAGCTATTGTTGCATAGTAACATTTTCATGTAGTATTTTCTCAGGTGAGTCTTACTAATTGAGATGTTCTAGTTTATAGTTTTGAAAATACCTGTGACAATAATTGGCATGTCTTAAAGCCTGGGGTAGAAATTCTGTATTGCTGAGGCTTTCTGCTTTTCTTTCCCTTTAAAGTCATCCGTCCTTGGTTCCGGATTTGGAGAGCTTGCACCTTCAAAAACGGCCAACATCACCAGCTCCCAGATTTTGGACCAGTTGAAAGCTCCAGGCTTGGGCCAGTTCACCACCCAGAGTTCACAGCAGAATAATACAAGTGCCGCAACAACCACTTCTTCTTGGGACCTGAAGCCCACATCATCCCAGTCATCAGTCCTTAGTCATTTTGGTAAGTATACATTTCCTGTGTTTCACAGCAACATGTAAAAAAAAAAAATTAGTATAGTGGTGCTTATAAAAATATCTCATGAAGGGAGGGGCAAACAAACATGGAAGGTGTGTGTTATTTGTGTAAAATACAGTAATTTCTTAATATAAAAAGGGTAACTAAAAATAAATGGTCAGAGATGTGGACACAGTTATAGGAAAAGACCACTAAAGCATAAGAAATGATGTGTTATTGAACTTAAATCATTTTAGTTTGCATTTATTTTCTATCATGTTTCACCAGTCAGACTGGGAAAGATAAAAAATTTGGTATTAGAGTGTATTGAAAAGGGTATGTTCTACCTACGGAAAGCAATTTTGAAGTGTTTGTGAAAATTTAAAAGACTATTTTACCTTGGGAACCAGCAACTGTATTCTAGGAATTGATCCTGCAGGTATACTTGCACTTGAGCAAAATGCCATACATACAAATACAGTGCAACCTGTGAGAGCTGGAACTTGGTGGGACTGTCTTGTCTCTCCAGGTCTCTCAGGTTTTCTGTCTTTGACAGGGTGCAGGCTTACCACTTTTCTGTTGCTCTTTTTAGTGGAAAATATTTGAGCTTTCCTTCTCTGACAGGTTTCTGCCTTACACAGGTTTTGGCTTTCACAGATTTTACTGTATTCATTGCAGCATTGTTTTTAATACCAAAGATTGGAAAACCTAAAAGTCCATTAATATGGTACTAATTGTATTAAACAAAACCTGTGTACACTGGATTGCTATGCCACCATAAGAATGAATGCAGTAGTGCTTCATACATTGATGTGCAACAGTTTCTGAAAATTAAACATTTTATGAGAAAACCAGGGTGTAGAAATGGTATTTAGTATGTAGGCATTTATGTATTGTGAGGGAAATAGGCAATAAAATTAAAAAGAAACATATATACACAATATATATAGGTATGTAAGTATGTATATCAAGGAGTATCACTGAAGAAACTGAGTACATAGACCATAACTACCACGGACTCCGTCCCACCAGACTGAGTCCAGTGCAACTAGATGGTGCCCAGCTACCACCACTGACTGCTCTGACAGGGATCACAACAGAGGGTCCTGGACAGAGCTGGAGAAAAATGTGGAACAAAATTCTAACTCACACAAAAAGACCAGATTTACTGGCATGACAGAGACTGGAGTAACCCCGAGAGTATGGCCCCCGGACACCCTTTTAACTCAGTAATGAAGTCACTCCCAAGGTTCACCATTCAGCCAAAGATTAGACAGGCCCATAAAACAAAACGAGACTAAAGGGGCACACCAGTCCAGGGGCAAGGACTAGAAAGCAGAAGGGGACAGGAAAGCTGGTAATAGGGAACCCAAGGTAGAGAAGGGAGAGTGTTGACATGTCGTGAGGTTGTTAACCAATGTCATAGAACAATATGTGTACTGTTTAATGAGAAGCTAGCTTGTTCTGTAAACTTTCATCTAAAGTACAATTAGGAAAAAAAACTGAGTACAGTGTTTGCGTCTGTGGAGCAAATCTGGGGGTGGTAGTGGAAGGGGAGAAGTTCATATTCATCATACACATTCTTACACCTTTGAATTTTGTACCATCACATATATTTCTTAGTCAAAAAAGTTATTAAAATAATTTTTAAAAATTAAGTACAAAATCCATAAAACAAAGAAAAACAATTCTCTGTTAGCTAATGGCCAGGTGTATATAGCACCTTGATGCTGTCCTTATTTGCCTGTATGTTTTAACATAAACTGTATTTCCTCTCTGTATGGGTTATTACACAAACCCATTCTTTTTCCATTTGTCATATACCATTGATCAAATAAATACACACACGCACACACGCACACGTACGTGATTCAGCTAGAAGATGTTTGGGAGAAACTAGTGGTGATTGTAACTTTATGATTAGTCATGGTAGAAGAGGGAGTCCTGAGCCCGTGCGGCTAATTAATGGATTATATTACATTCTTTTTTTACTTATTTCATAGACTTCAAATCTCAGCCTGAGCCATCCCCGGTTCTTAGCCAGTTGAGCCAGCGACAGCAGCACCAGACCCAGGCAGTCACTATTCCTCCTCCTGGGTTGGAGTCCTTTCCTGCCCAGGTAAAACTCCGAGAATCAGCATCCGGAGACAGTACCTCCACTGTGAACAAAATTCTGCAGCTTCCCAGCATGGCCGTTGAAAACATCGCTGTGTCTGCCCACCAACCACAACCCAAACACATCAAACTCCCTAAACGGCGGATACCTCCTGCTTCTAAGGTGGGCATTCCATCATGAAGTCTCAGTCCCAGAGGCGATTTAACATCTAGCTCAAGTAGCAGGTTATTAAGTCACAGAAATTGTGATGTAGTATTTTTCAAGCACATAGCTTACTCCTTTATGAGGACTCAGGTATTTCTGCGTGACTGGTCTAATATTGGAGGGAATGGGTATGTGCTGAGCGCCGGCGATATGAGGATCCGGCTAAGAGAATGCTGTTCTTGCCTACTTGTGGCCCGTAGTTGGAGGGGGAGTAGCAGTTCTGTTGTTCACAGAACTTGCTTCCTTGTCCTGGTAGTGCTTTTATCAGTAGTGTGTACCTGAAACTAGAGCAGTCACTCAGTGCCCACTCTTCTCTCCCTCCTGGCCACCCCAGCACCGTCCGACCTCTGCTGTAAGAAGCGTTGGTGGCATTACCACTGACCATTTCCCTGTTAACTCTTCTTTTTCCTTTGTCCTTTTCCCTTCTCTCTTTTTAAAAATTCTATTCCTTTTTGCTTTTCCCTCTGTGTCCCTCAGGCCTGCCAGTAGTGCCCTATGCCTGGTGAGTGCAGTTGCTTGTTTGGCTCTGCTGTAGGCCTTTGGAATTTGAAATTCCTGACCTCTATTCCTGACATGATGGCTTTGCTTTCAGATCCCAGCATCTGCGGTGGAAATGCCTGGTTCAGCAGATGTCACAGGATTGAATGTTCAGTTTGGCGCCCTGGAATTTGGATCAGAACCCTCTCTCTCTGAGTTTGGATCAGCTCCAAGCAGTGAAAATAGCAATCAGATTCCCATCAGCTTGTATTCAAAGTCTTTAAGGTACACAACTTCATGCTTCTCTTGTTTTGACTGAATTAAGTCCTTTGTTTGCAAAGCAGAAACAAAATGGAGCCTAAGAAAGTACCTCTTGGAGACATACAACCTGTGATAAGGGGTTTGTACAACCATCACCATTATCTAATTCCAGAACTTTTCCATCACTACAAAAAGAAACCTTGTAGCATTTATCAGTCACTCCCAAATTTCCCATCCCTGGCAACCAGTAATCTGCTTTCTGTCTCTGGAGTTGCCTGTTCTGGACAATTTATATAAATAGAATCATCTAATAGAATCCTTCACTTAGCATAACGTTTTCAAAGTTCATCCATGTTGTAGCATGTGTTAGTACTTCATTACTTTTTAAAAAACCAAACCCGTTGCCAGTGAGTCAATTCTGACTCATATAATAATATTCCATTGTATAGATATACCATATTTTGTTTATCCATTCATTCATTAGTAGACATTTGTGTTGTTTTCTACTTCCTGGCTATTACGAATCATGCTGCTGTGAACATTCAGGTACAAGTCTGTGTGAGTGTATGTTTTCAGTTCTCCTGGGTATATACCTAAGAGTAGAATTGCTCTTACATTTAACCATTTGAGGAACCTCCAAACTGCTTTCCACAGTGGCTGCAGCATTTTATGGGGGTTTCAGTTTTTTCACATCCTCTCCAACACTTATTGGAATATTTTGTATATAGGGAGTGCCAGATTTGAAATTTTATTTTATAAGCTAATTTTCTAGAGATAAAAACCTGATAGTTTTTTGGGTTCCCTTTCTAAGATGGTCTCAGACACCTGGGCTCCTTAAGGATTGTTTATATCCTCTGCCTGTCATTCAGATTAGGTAGGCCTAAGTTTTTTGGGGGGAAAAAATTATTTCGAAACATTATTTGCATCTTTTAATAAAGTTAAGGAACAGAGCAGTACAAGTTTGTAGTCATAGATAATGTTTATTTAATTTAGAATATGACAATGAAGTAGCTCTATTTCACGAAGCTATATAAACTGAGACAAATTTACTGAGACATCCAATCCCTTTTATTCTTTTTAGTGATCCTTTGAATACCTCTTTACCAATGACTAGCGCGGTACAGGACTCCACCTATACAACTTCTGTCATTACTTCCTCCAGTCTGACCAGCTCATCCCTGAGCTCCACTAGTCCAGTGACAACGTCTTCCTCCTATGACCAGAGTTCTGTGCACAGCAGGATCGCATACCAAAGCTCCCTGAGTCCATCAGAGTCAGCTCCAGGAGCCGTCACGGTAAGTGGTGTTTCAGATTTCCTCTCTTAGAAAATTCCATTTTGTAACTCAATGTGTGGATTGGGAAATTAAGCCTTTTGGTAAGACTTTCCTTGTAGAAACTGGCAAACTTTCTGAGTAGAACCCTGGTAATTCGTTGAGTTTTCTTGTAAACTTCAGTTACAGTGGACATCTCATTTGAAACCTGCTTCTCCAGCACTCCTGCATTTGAGTGAATGGACCCACAAGCACACACACTTCGTTGAGAAGACAAGACTTGATATAGTCTAAGAAGCTTGGCCCTGGTTATGTAGTCTAAGCCATTTGGCTCTGGGACCGTACAGCTCTGGCGCACCTCTCCCTTACAGACTCCTTTTCCCTGACTGCACGTGGTTCTGCATCACCATTAGCTGTTATTGAGTTAAAATTACATTATTCCCTACCCAGATTTTGTTAACAATACTAAGTTATAGTTAAGAAATCAGATATCTTTGTTATATTTTTTTAAGTCCCACCATGGGAATCCCAGTCACCCTTCTGGAGGCTTGCTAGCTACATATTTGATGGTCAGCAATCAGCAGCCCTTCTCTCTGTCCCTCTCTTCTTTCCTGCCAGGAACTCATTTCAGACAAGGCCTTCTGCCCCTGTTTTCTTGTGATACTGGGAGTTAGCTTATCAGGTGCTGGGCTTGGCCTTTTTCACATTTTCTGACTCTGAAGTAGAGGTGTACAAATAATCTCCTGAAAATCTTAGGGAAAAAACTTAGAAAATTTAAAAAAAAAGAAAAAAAGTACCCAAATATCTGATACACCAATTTAAGTGTTGTTACCATTTTCATTTTCTAGTCCACTCTTTAAAGAAAAAAAAAAAATTAACTCATACTAGTAATACTTGAACATCTTTGCCTTGTAGAAAATTAAAATATTATAGATAAGACTATAGCCTTCCTCCCCAGACCACTATGAACAATTTTGGGTGTATCCTACTCTTGATTCATATGTCTGCATTTTTTTTATGAGATTAAAATCAGTATATGAAGGAGTTTTCTGGGGTGATGGTAATGTGATAGGGATTTGAGTTACTCTAGTGTGTACATTTGTTAATACTTCTTTCTGTTCCCTAGGTGGCAACACTTTAAACTTTTTTTTGGAGTGGGGTGGGAGGCAATTTTCCTGATATTTTCTTCCATGTTGCTCAGTAACATGATGACTGTATTGCTACTGTCCTTGATTCCCCAGCCTCGTTTTAGGTATTAGCAATTTACTTGCCACTGCGGAATATTAAGGATTTAGCTCTTTCATCACTGTCAACCTCACCTGTCTATTTTCTGAGAGTTTATGTACGATTGTTCTTCTTCCTGCCTTAAATGTCTGGTAGAATTCACCAAACATTTGGTACACTTAAGATTTGTATATTTCACCATGTGTAAATTTTATCTTAGAAATGTCTGCAGCCAAAAAAACAATAAGGATTGAAGGATGAACAGGAAACTATACTCACATTTCTGCTAGCCAGTTTATTATTTTGATTGCTTTCCAGTGCATTCAGCCAGTTATTTTCATTGTTATTGATTTTTTTATTGTACTTCAGGTGAAGGCTTACAGAACAAATAGTTTCTCATGAAACAGTAGTACACATGTTGGTTTATGACATTGGTTAACAACCCCACAACATATCAACCTTCTAACTTCTCAACCCTTTTTTTTGGTGAAAATACACATAGCCAAAGATACACCGTTTCAAAAATTTCTACATGCA